AGGAAGGAAAGCTGCAAATGAAAATAAAGGCAGAGAAACTAGCAGCCAACCCCCTACTATTCTGTCCCTAAAACAAGAAAACAAAAAGCTGCAAGTTAAAGCAAAAACACTAGGGTTGGATGGAATGAGAGGAAAGAAAGCTTCTATTCTTTTGTTACAATCGGAAACAACGATGTGAAAACAGTTGGATTTAAAGACCTTTCCTTCAGGGCCCGTGAGTGGCTTAATCAGTTAAGCCTCCCACTTCAGCCCAAGTCACGATCTCACTGTCCATGGGTTCGAGCCCAGGTCAGGCTCTGTGCTGACAGCATGGAGCCTGGAGCCTGCTACAGATTCTGTTTCCCTCTCTCTCTGCCCTTCCCCCCTCACACTCTGCGATTGCTCGCTCTCTCTCTCTCAAAAATAAATAAAACATTTAAAAAATAAAGACCTTTCCTTCCAGCCAAAATATAGTCAAAGCTAAAGTAAAAATGGTAAAGATATTAAGATGGGGTAAAAATGCCTACAAATGTCGAAGGCAAGTTCACTAAGGATAAATCATGTATCTATGGAGACTGGCAATTTTAAATGTGAAGTTCCCCATGATATACTTTATAAATGATAAATTTCAGTTGTGTGGCCTTGGTGTTCCCAAGAAAATACTAAGTACCATACCAATAAATGACACTAGTCAGTAGTAAACAACCTGAGAGAGAATATTACTAAAAGATTTACAGATAAAGTATTAAAAGTGGTCCAAATGTTATCACGATAAATACCAAATATATGGAGTATACTTTGCAATAGGGACAAAATCTCACTAAGATGTTTCATTAGTACCATTTACAAGACTCTGCACAAAGTAAGCTAAGAAACAAGAGCACAAGTAATGTTCCTCTGTAATAAAAATAAGGTATTCTTCATTTTAACTCCTTCAATAAGGCACTGAAAAATGAATAATTAAAAAATTTAAATAATGTAGGAAAATGGTAATACTTGGGGTTAACAAACCAGTACATAATAAAAAGTAAAGGCTATAAGGGTGTCTGGGTGGTTCAGTCGGTTGAGCATCCGACTTCGGCTCAGGTCATGATTTCACAGTCTGTGAGTTCGAGCCCTGCGTCAGGCTCTGTGCTGACAGCTCAGAGCCTACAGCCTGCTTTGGATTCTGTGTCTCCCTCTCTCTCTGCCCCTCCCCTGCTCATGTTCTGTCTCTCTCTCTCTCTCTCTGTCAAAAATAAATAAACATTAAAAAAATTTTTTTAAAAAGGTATTTATAAAAGTACATAGTCCTTTCCAAAAATTTGAAAAGTGCCTGACAATAAACTCAAAATTAAAGACATTTAATCTGACCATGAACCACATTTCAAAAAAGAATTTTGATTAAAATGTAAGGTGAGTAACTCTATTTCCATACTAATAAAAATCAAAATAAGTTTTGGTAGATAAATTATTTTCTTTCAAAAATAAGCATATAGCTATTTTAACACAGCTATGATATATGACAGATGTCCTCAAACTTGGTTCACACACTCACAACATGTATATAAAAAACTGACATAAATATGGTATACGTATAATATCAGTTGATAAGAAGCTTTGAAGCAAAACTTATTACGTAGTTACATTTTACAGAGATACAAAAAAGAACATTTTTACTTATAGTCTGACTGGGCTCAGAGATTAAATCATGTTTCCACATTTACTATTAAAGATCTAAAAATATATATAACTACCCAAAACTAAGTACCATCTTTGAAAACTAGAAGTATAATTTTCATGAAATGTTGGTGGGGCAGGGGGGTGGTAAGGGAAGACACAGGGTAGAACTATATGCAGTAGAGTAATTCTCTCTACAAGTAATAATCTCCCAAGTTTTGTTTCTTTTTTAAATCAAAGAAATTCTTATAAAATGTCATATGAATAAGGAACACTAAAACACACTGTGATCTTCACTCTTCCTTATCCAAAAGATAAAAATCTCAGCGTGTAGCAACCTAAAGGTACAGACGTCAATGCAGTAGTTGCCCCTAAATTGGCACAAGTAAATTCTCTAGGATAATGGAAATGCTCTGTATATCTTCATTGGGGTGTTGGTGACACAGTATAGACATTTGCCAAGACACATAAAACTCACTTATATCTGTAAATTATTCTCTATAATTATACTTCAATTTTTTAAGTAAAAAAAATAAAATGCATAGGTATAAATAGAAGTGGATTAAATGGAACATACCTACCATTACAGGCAAAAGGATAAACTTAAATTTGAATAGGAGCAACCTCAACAGACAACCAATATGATCACCTAATCATCTCAAAATGCCTTAACATGCAATATTACTAAAAATGAATTAATTATACTTCACAAATATTCTCAAAAAAGTAATTTATACTCAATAATACCACACGAGTCAATTTATTTATTTACTCAGTAGTACATTTAACAACCAATTCATCACAGTGGATTTACTAAGAAGCTATGTTGCGTGGATCAGAAAGATACTCAAGGCAGCAGTACTGAGGGTTTTACCTAATGAACAAATGAATGAATACTACTAATAACTGATAAGCTAACATCGAGTATTTAAAATGTATCAAGTGCTGTTCTAAATGCTTTCCTCATATTAACTTATTTGATCCTCACAACAACCTACAGAAGTAGATACTCTCACTATCCCATTTCATAAATGAAGAAATTGAGGCACCCTGAGGTGAAGTATCCTGTCAAGCTCATCCAGGTCTAACTGTGGCAACCTAACTATCTAGAGACAACTTTCTAAATCACTTTGTTCTACTGCCTTTTTAGAATCAGTTGCCTTAAAATTTTCTAGGTTAAGATAAAGGTTGTGCTCTTTAGAATGGAACCTTGGGGGATTTTTATAGAACAGCAGTCCCAGAATGATTTTTAAAGAACAAGTACTTACAAGGCCCACCACAAGAATATTAGATGTCATGCTCATTTGTCTGTGTGATTAACCTTCTCTATACTTTTTTCTCCATACTTTTTTTTAAAACTAAAACTTCATTGTCTACTTATTTAATTTTTAATTGAGCGCATCCTAACCTTATTTCTTATCACAGAAGATCTGATCTTTAAGAGGAGCAGTGTGGTATATGAAGTCATACAGAGCATTCTCTGGTGATACTCATCGAAAGTCTTGCATTCCAAAAGAATAATTCTTATTTCAAGAAACTGACAGTTGAAAATCATTCAAATTGTGTCCAAATACAATTTCAAAAATTGTGTATTACTTAATAATTGTTTTCAAAAGCCTTCCATTTTTAATAATTCAGTATCTTGCTGTTGTTAACGGTAACTTATTCCACAGAAAATGAGTGAACTGTAGCCCTCTGACTGGGAAGTTCTGCTCAAAGCTACAGGAAAAGAACAGCTGTCTACCTCAAATAAAGTGCCATTCAACCCCTTTTAACAGCTTACTTGAGACAAATATTATTTCTGGAGAACTGAATTGTCCATGGATTTCATGTTTTATCCTTAGTGTGAAATGAACCATTAAAAGGCAATATACCTTGGGTCTTGAATGTTTTGTACCTCCATAACCCAATACAAACACCAAGTTGCATTTTCAAGCTACACTTCACATTTTCTTGAAGACAACTTAAGAAAAAACATTTGAAATCTGTTACCAAAGTTACTATAGAGATGCTATCAAGAACAGTGCCTTATATGCAATGTTCAAAAAGCTATGCTTCCTTGATAGAACAAATAATTTTTCTCCTCAAGGATCATGAAAATACATAAAGTGTCATATTTCCTTTATGCCCTAGCCAGCAAAAACCTCAAAACCTTAAGAGTGAACTAAATGAATTGTTTGACTTTACAGCCTAAAGATCTGTTATTTTTTCCAAATACTTCTAAGATTTAATTTCTTTTAAATATTTAAATCTTGGTTCTATCTAGAATATACTTTGGCATAAACAGGTCTTTAGTACAAAAGTTTTACTTTTTTTAACCAAATCTTTATTTTTTTTATATGATCTACTCCCCTCAGTATTGTATTCTATTCTTTCACCCTTACCTCACCCTATCCGTGCCAATTTCTGTGTTCTTTTTGGTGTTTTCTGATTGGAGGCATGTAGGAGATCACTGAAGTTCAACAATATATATTTGTATATTTGGCTAGTTCAAAAAGGGTATAAGAAAAAGTAGTATAAATTCACTGTGAATTACAAATTAAAACCAGTAGAAATAAATATTTTTATTTTAGCAGTTATCCTTAAGTATTAGAAAGATTTTGAGAATTTAAGACTGTCACACTATAAAAATGGCAAGCCCTTCAAATTACAGATTTATCTCTAACAATGCTAAACCACTCAAAACAATCCAAATCAGTCATTAGAACATTTGCTAACTGGGCTATCTTCCAACTATTGGGCCCTGTTTGAAAATCAAGAACATTTCTGTACAGAAGGGAAATCTTTCAAGTTAGTTCTTAGGCAAGAGGTGGTTTATTCTTTACCTTTACCCAGGCTCCCTCTACTGACAGAATAACAAAACAGAGTATGGAATTATACCAGCTAATTTCATCAACACAAAGAAAAGGAATTCATTTTTTAAAGACTTCAAAATCAACATTTTAGGTAAGAATAGACTAAAAACTGAGTTCACTACATACCCAAAAAGAAATAAACATTTGTGAGTGGACAATTCAAGTAACATCCAAATTGTATATGTGGCACATATCATTTTAATATACTACTTTGCAATGTTAACCCTTGGATATAAGAAGGATTAAAGATTTTAAATTCATTTTAAATATTTTTTAAAAAAAATTTTAATGCTTATTTATTGTTGAGAGAGAGAGAGACAGTGCAAGCAGAGGAGGGGCAGAGAGAGAGGGAGACACAGAATCTGAAGCAGGCTCCAGGCTCTGAGCTGTCAGCATAGAACCTGGAGATCATGACCTGAGCCGAAGTCTGACACTTAACCAGCTGAGTCACTCAGGCACCCCTCATTTTAAATATTTTAAATAATCACTCAGGAAGGAAATGTTTACCTGTATCTGTTCTGGTGTCCATTGGTCTAAGTTGACTGACTTGACCCTGGATATATGAACCCCAAGATTTCTATGGATTCCAGCACATCTGATGCAAATAAACACACCAATATTCCAGGAAGCCCATCGAGGACCTAATTAAGGAGAAAAAACAAAGATAAATATTAAAAACTAAAATAAATATTATGACAGCATTTAAGTGAGACACTCTGATTTTTATACAATTACAATGGAGCTTAACAAAATTCTACATGCTCAAAGTTTACAATGGCACTGGCTGCAAGGTTATAAATCAACCTTCAAGAACCTTAATGAGTTTACTAATTTTGCTTTTCTAGAAACTTTCCCAAACCTAAGAATTTAAAACTAATTTATGTGAATAGTGTTTTCACTAGCATAGTTAAACCAGGACCAGTAATGTCCCACAGTATAAAGTAAGTTCTTTATTAAGTGTGTAAAGTATTGCTCAGGTCATGATCTCACAGTTTGTGAGTTCAAGCCCACACTAGGCTCTCTGCTGTCAGCACAGAGCCTGCTTCAGATCCTTTGTCCCCCTCTCTCTCTGGCCCTCCCAGCTTGTTTTTACTCTCTCTCTGGCCCTCCCAGCTTGTTCTCTCTCTCTCTCTCTCTCTCTCTCTCTCTCTCAATAAATAAAAACAAAAAAAAAGACTGCCAACAAATATAAATTAAGGAGTTTTCAATGAAATGTAGAAATTAGTAAGAAATAGACAACCAACATAAAAGAAAAACATACAAAAAGATATGAATGGGTAATTCACATAAGAAGAAATATATGGACAATAAACATATAAAAATATGCATGATCTCACTAGCAGTTAGGGAAAATGCCCTTTAAAACTACAACAACCCCCATTTTACATTCAACACATTGGGAAAACTTTTTAATCAACTGTTAGAAAGAATGAGGGACAATAACATCTGCCTCAAGAAGTCTATAAAATGGATAAATCCCAAATATAACCCTGATTTAAGAAAGGTTATATATGAACTAAGGTATGTTATGAAATATCAGTTCTTTGGATCATGGTTAAAAAATTCTGAAAAAAATTGTACAGAAATTTACATTAAGGATACAAGAATACAAAGCCCTAGCTATACTATTCTTTATATCTTTGAATGTATTTTCTCAATAATTTTAAATATACTTATGATTATTTTCATATATTGCTTATATAATTAAAGTAAAAATGGAAAAATAAAAGTAGTATCTGGCAATTATGTCAACTATTCAGAAACATATACTTAATTGATTTTTATAAATCACTTGATTATGAAAAAACTATATACAGTAAGAGGTATCAATAAAAACCAAGCTTTTTAAAACATTAGACTTCTGTTTTAAGTGCATACTTTTTATCTAAAGGTGAAAGTTAAATCTACAAAATAACACCAAACTCAGTAATTACAATGCACTAAAACTACACACATTCCTCTCGAAAATTCCTTAAGAGGTAGTTTACGCATGTACAATTTATGCCAAAATATCCTGCTTTTAAATTTCAGAAATGATACCTATAACCTGAGAAACATCTAGGATATATTCTATTTAAATGTTTGATGGCTAAGAGCATCGAAATGAATTAGAAACCAAAAGACCCGTATTCAACCTACTCTGCCACCAGTGAACTGCATAAACTTTCCTGGACTAGTAACAAGGTTCTCAACAAGGTTCTCATATGTTAAGTATAGTCAACATTGGCTGCCTCATTCTTAGGTGAGTCTTGTATGGAAAATACTTTGAAAGTTTTAAAGCACTACTGAAGTGCAAGTTATTGTCATACTAAGAAACTTTGAAAATCAAAATGCAATACTTTCCTCCTCTAGAAAAAGACAACTCCCCAAACTGCAGTGAGTCCAGAGCTGATGGGAAAAGATTTTCAACACTCTCCAAGTGTGGCTTCGTTCATTTTTGTTCTTAAAATAGAATGATTCCCCTCAGAATATGTTAGACTCACAGCCAAATATAAATGGAGACTTTTCTCTATAGCACAATTTTTTTTGATGCAGCAAATGTTATGACTGAATGAATTAGAAAGCATCAATTGCACAATGTGATAGTAACTGTCCATACAGGTAAAAAGTTGTAGCACCAAACAGAGTGGTGCATTCTACAATAACCAAAGATGACAAAGGGATCAAATGTATAAAAGCACTGTACAAGAATCATGCTAGCAGTAATAGAAAAAAATGGCCATTTACTATTGAACAAAAAGCGAGATATAATTAAATGTTAACTGATGTTCAGGTTTTATACAGCTTCATACAACTATAAAAAACCATTTTATTGATTCCTGCAAGGAAAAAATAAACAGCTATCACTTACTGGAAATGTTAGCCCCAATCGTTTTTTACCAATTGAAATAATAATGCAATTTTGTCAATGCATCTTTCTTTGCAATACAGTTATCACATTTTAACTAATATAGTCAGGGACCTTCAAAAATAGACTTTTTAAAAATTTTTTAATGTTTATTAATTTTTGAGAGAGAGAGAGAGAGCAACAGTGGGTGGGGGAGGGGCAGAAAAAGAGAGAGACACAGAAACCAAAGCAGGCTCCAGGCTCTGAGCTATCAGCACAGAGCCCAACATGGGGTTCGAACTCTGAGCTGTGAGATCATGACTTGAACTGAAGTCAGAAGCTTAACTGACTGAGCCACCCAGGGACTACCAAAAATAGACTTTTAAAAGCCTAACCAAAATTACAATTGGATTATTCACTCTATAACACTGGACTTGTAAAATTTACCTAAAATTGATAAAATAATAACTGTTCAGCATGGCAATCATTCAAGTACTGGTATGAAATCCTAATTTTCATTCACCAAACTATTCAATGAGTACTTACCAACTCTGCCAAGTAAATGCTATTGTAAGACCATAGACACAAAGGGAAAAAGCTAAGTTCCCAGAGTGAGGAGGCCAAGCCAAGTATAAGTAAGTATAACCACTTAAAAAACAATTTGGTGAAATCCAATAAAAGTTCTAGATGAATAAACCCTTCTACAAGGCAATCTATTCACACATGCTTAGATACACATACACATAGGTTTACCAAGCTATATATGTAATATGGCATATTTAGTACACATACACACTCACATATAACATACCCTACAGCAGCTATTTTATATGGCACGTCACAACTCATTAATCTCAATAAGTACTTATTTTTAGAAGAGAAGGAAGAAAGATTTAAGTTCATCACACAAAGGGTAAATATAGTTTTGTTCAACTTTTTAAAAAAATCGATTACATATATATGTATACAGACACACATACACACATAAATCAAGTCATGCTGTAAAATGTTTCTCTGGGTCATGGCTGAATATGTTTGAAAAACACACAAAGAAACTAATACATGTATATTTAAGAAGCTTGTACCAAAAAATTTATAGCAGCATGGTTTCTAAATAACTGGAAATAACTTATATGTTCACTAGTATGATTATCTCACCATACAATTTGAAAATGAATAACCTGCATGTATCAACATGGATAAATCTTAATTATAACATGGAGTATCAATTTTAGCATAAGGCGATATACATAAGGGGCAATGTCTCCAACTAAGGAGACAAAGTCTGCTGGAAGGCATGCAGGTCTCACATACGTGACAAAGCCTGATCTAAAAATTTAAACGCTGACTAGTAGGCAGTAGGCACAGAAGACACATTCTTGGCAAAGGTTAACAAAGGTGAGGTATGGTAGAAGACTTTGGTATGACTGGAGGCTAGAGTATTAAAAGTATTTGGGGACAGCTTCAGGAGATGATAGCAGGAGGCCTTATATGGCAGGCTCAGTGGTTTACCCTGACTCTGAAGAAGGCTTCTAATAGCACTTTCAAGTTCACCATAGCACTCCCACTCACATACTATTTATACATGCCCTGTCTGGCCTTCATGCTTGCGCATTTGTTGTTGCTTCTGCCCAAATGTTTCTTCCTTGGGTCTTCACATGTCTGGCCCACTTTGTTGTACAGGCCTCAATTCACACACTACCTGCTTACAGAGGACTCTCATGACTGTTCTAGCTAGAGTTGCCTCCCCATTCTCCATCACTTACAATACTTCCAGCTATTTGTTCTGAAGTTTACACAAAAATCTAAGATAAATAGAGAAATAAAAATAGGTAATTACCTGGAAGGTTTAATTATTGTAACAGCTGTATCTCAAACTAAGCTAAGGAAAGGCAAAGTCAGTTCTAGATCAGTATCTCTCAGACTCTAATGTGCATACACAAACCTAGGGATATTATGAAAATGCAGATTCTAATTCTGTAGCCCTGGAATGGCATCTGACATCCTGCATTCCTAAGAAACAACCAGTGATGCCCATGTTGCCATACACAAAGCACATTTAGAAGAGCAAGATTTTAGAATATTCTTGACAAGGCTTTAACTCAAGCATTCAGCATATTTCGTTATCTGTTTTCACTACTCTTACTGAGAATATGACTCAAATTGTGAAAATTTATTTTAACATACTAGGAATCAAATCTGCTGAGAAAAAAATCAAAAGTTTATTTAAAATTCAAATATTGGGTTATTTTGAGTTATCCATATCACTATCTCACTAAAAGCAACACAAATAAGCTAGCATCAACTAAACTAATATTACTCATCTCATAACCACAATCACACTAAAAGCTCCAGTAAACAGAAGATGTTATTTGGCCTCACTAATATTAGCACCTTAACTCATATCCATCATCAGTGAATATACTGAATAAACTTGTCTTGTAGCTTTTGTACCATTTGAGAAATAAGATGAAACTGCATTCTCATCTGAGAAGGAACTTCTCTTAAGTTTCTGATTACCATGATAGACTAGCAAACAGAAAAACTACTTTGAATTTTCTTTATATAAATAGAAAATAAAACAAGATAAGGAACGGAGAGTACAACATTAACTGCTAAATGTAATTTCTTTCTAAGACTGGTTCTTCTATAAAGCCTTCTCCAATTCCCCCCCCCAAATTTTTTAACATTTATCACAATGTTTTGCAGTTAATTGTTTTAGCTATCTTTTCTGAGAAACCGTGATCTCTTTAAGAAAAGGGTCATTTTATTGATTTCTGGATGCAGCACAACATCTGGTATAAAAATGTAGGC